GACTTTATAGTATTCTAAAAATATTATATAAGAATTAATTATCTTCTTAGTCTAAAGTATTTTCTAAATATCTACTAATAAGATTATAAATACTTTCATATTCTTTTTAGATCTTTTTTATAAATAGTCTCTAAGTCTTATCTTTATAATTAGCTAAACTCTTAGTTTTATATACTATAGATATAGTAGATCTTTTAGTCTTATTTTTATTATATATAGAAATAGTCTTTCTTATTCTAGTTCTAAGACTCTATTATAATAGAATAGTTTGCTTTTTTCTAGAATTAAGTTATATCTAAGATTATTAAATATTATATAGAAGTATACTCTCTTCTCTATATAAGATCTAATATCTATTCTTACTTATATAATAAAGTAGATTAGTACTTTATTACTAAAAATCTCTTATATTAATCTTGAAATAATACTAGTAATTAATAGATTATTGATTTAGGTAAATATCTTACTTATAATATTATAGATTAGATATTCTAAATTAATAAGTATATAAATAGTTATTATAAGATCTAGAATTACTTCTACTAAAAAGAGATATATAACTATATATTTTTTTTAAAACTTTTTTATTCTTTTTAGTTTTATCTAGTAATTCTTATTTAGATATATAATTTTATACTAGATTTTTTCTTTTTCTAAGTCTAAGTTCTTATCTAAGATATATTATTATTTCTATTTATAAAATATAGATATAATAGCTACTATACTTATTAATTATATAGTAGACTTAAGGGAATATTAGTAGATAAGATATCTATTCTATCTATATTAGAGATAGTACTCTACTTTATATCTTTTCTATATTTTACTAGGTATTATCTATTAGACTTATTTTAAGTAACTATTACTAGTTATATAGGGATTATATTTTTCTTATTATATAACAGTTATCTAAGTAGATTTCTACTCTATTAGTTTAGAGCTTAGTTTCTAGTATACTAGTATAGTCTTAGTATAACTTTCTTTAGATAGAAAGAATACTCTATTTAAATTATGATTTATATAGTATAGTTAATTATAGTAGTCTTTATATATAGACTCTTAGGAAATCCTAATCAGTCTCTTAATAAGCCTCTAGTTTATAATAGTATCTAGTATAGTCTTCTTTTACTTATCTAATTAATTATATTCCTTTATCTATAGTAGGGCTTTATTAAAGTTATTTAGAAATTCTTCTAGTTCTATTCTTTCTTATTTTATAGTATTTCTCTATTAAGAGCTTTTTATCATATATTAGAATCTCTAAAGATCTTATTTATTACTAGTATTAGATCTTTGAATTGTACTATTTTAGTATTCTAGGATTTAATCTAAGAAAGTATCTATTATACTACTTATCTATATAGCTGACTATAGATATAGAAGACTTATTCCAGTCTAGTAGAATAATAATTTCTATTAATTATAAGCTTTATATATATATTTAATTTAAATAGTTTATAATTATACTTATCTTCTCTACTAAATAATTCTATATTAGAGTATTAAGAGTAAGGCCTAAAATATAGTTTATATAGTTATAATAAGAAGTTTTCTTCTTATTTACTATTAATAGTAGGGGTTATACTATAGCTCTGTAATTTATTTATTTATTCTTTAAAGACTATTTTCTATTTTACTATTTCTATATAGAGGCTAATCAGCTCCTATAGGAGAAGTTGTATATTATTAAGAATAGATATAGATACTATGGTTAGTTACAGTCCTTCTGAATCTATTTATTCTATTATTCTAGTGATTCTTTTCTATATTCTTATTCTATTTATACGCCTAGTTAGACTCTGTCTAGGACTTTTTTTTTTAACAAGCTATTTCTAATGTTATGGGATGAATAGATTGTACTAATCAAAACATGCCTTTGAATAAGAAGAAATAGCTGAAGAGCTATTTCATCTGTTTATGCAAAATTCTTTTAGGTGTGTGCGAACTAAGCTAGCACTAGTTTAGTGTATAGTGTGCGAGGCCTCAGGCACCAACTGGTGCCTGAAGCTGAGCTCTATATCAGGGCCTTGGTCCCATAACAAGAATATACTATTAGAGTATAATTCTAAGTAAAAGATATCTTACCCTGGATATAAAGAGAATCAAATATCTTATTGATAATTTTCTAATCTTATTTCCTAATATAGTATATTTATAGCTTTAATAACTTGATATTTCTCTTTATAAATATTTCTAGTTATTAGTCTTTAGATATATTAGTAACTCTAATATTAGATCTATCTAGCTTTATCTATATATTATATTAATTGATTATCTAAGTAAGTAGTTTATTTAACTAAATATTTATCTAAAAAAATTATATTATTCTAAGTTTATTTTTTAATCTATTATCTATAAAATCTATATTATACTTTAGTATCTTCTTTTTATGAAGATATTTTTTTAGTCTTCTATTCATATACTTTATAGAGATAAAGAATACATCTACTTATAAACTTAGAGATTTTAATATCTATATCTATATATATTATAGAAACTAAGACTTTTTAGCTTATTTTTAATAATTAGTAAACTATTAAAAAGATATAATAGTATATAGAATAACTAAGCTTTTAAGATCTTCTACTATAAAATAAAAATTTAATTCAATAGTAATTTTAAAAGTATTTATATGTAAAATAAATTACTGAATATAATATATTAAATTTTTAAGCTAGTTTAACTAGTAATTATTTTATCTCTAGCCCAAAAATAATTATAAAGTATATTTTGGATAAAAGTTTATAAGAATAATGATTTATACTAATTTTAGTATTAAAAGATCTTATATTAGTAGTTTAGTAGATAATTAAAATTATTGATATTTCTAATGTGTTGGGTGCGGAAGTGGGGTATCCCGAGACTTTTGATTACTTATTGTAAGTGGGCGGTGGGGCAAGGTATCTTAATGCCAAACTTGGCTGTTTTGGAACATGCTGTCAAGACTCATCATTGTCACCTCTTCCCTTGAGTGACACTGTCTTAATGGACTGCATGATGATGAATTGAATGAATCCTGGAGCTTGTCATTGAAGCTTGCATCTACAAGATGCTGCAGCATATAGGGTCTATACCATGCTGGTATAGTCTCATTTGCCATACACCAAAAGACACATTTGGAAAATGTTTTGACTTGTTTGACTGGATGAATAGTAAACTCAGCTCTTCACAAAAATAGGTCTTTCTGCATACTTGGTTGTAGTGAACTCCGTGCAACTTCCTAGTGGTGATCAAGGAAACTAACAGCTTACTATGTATTGATGCACAATAGGTGGATGGCTTGTCACACCTAAGGAGCCCCATGAGTGCTGCAGGGAATTGGTGGTTATAAACCTCATCTACCAAGTATGTGTAATGGTTGAATGGTGTTGTAACCCTCAGTAAGTAATATACTTGATTTATTATACTGCCAGCTCTTGAATATGTGTTATTGTGCACACTGCACAGTACTCTGTAGTATGGCCTATGGAGTACTACTCTGCCTCAAAGTTCTATTTGAAATCCTTTACATGGTGGTGTCCTGCCCCACATAATCCCACCACTAACCCTGCACTAGCGTAACTAGCAAACACCTGCTTGATTTCTGTCTATACTCTGTACTACTAGTACCTCCTTATCGAAGGATATGCTGCATCTCCGCATACGCCCCTGAGAGCTGTACTGCCTATCCGAGCAAGATCATATATCCTTATTCTGCTTTCTAGCTTTCACGTACCAAGGAGAGTCTCTTATCAAATAATTACATTTTCGAAACATTCCTTGCGAATGAATAGGTAGCCTCTGGTTTTGAAATCAGTCGCATCGCGTTGAGCCTGCCTCATGCACATCGGCAGGTGTCTCCAAAATCGCAATTGACCGACAGAAGGCAGCCACTGAATTTCAAGGTTAGCTTTTGTGCTAGCACGACTTCGCACCCAATCATTTATCTAGACCTGGAGGTTGCATTCTCAATTTTCTTACGCCTGTATATTTCCAAGCATGAATCATTATTGAGTCACTATCACCGTGAACAGTGCCACTATTTCCAACAGTACCGCCTCTTCATCTGTCTGAAAGCCTGCTAGCCCATCCCGGCGAGCAATACGAGCACGCTGCACTGGCATTCACGTGTGGAATGGTACGTCTTGAAGCTTGGTTACATATAGATTTAGGAGATCTTCACCTAAGTGCAGCTGTGATTTTGAATCTGTTGTTTTCACAACTAGCCCTGTTCCACCATGCTTTTAAATCTCCCAGCAGAGCATGAGTCTGGACCAATGCTCAATCTTCCAGGTTCACGCCTGCCTCCGAGTCCTTCCACACCGCGAGATATGAGCTCCCAAACCGAATCAAACCACATACATAACGCGGCCAGAATCTGTCCCATTGCACCCACAGTGGCTAATGCTTCATCGGGTGTCGATTCAGCAGGAAATCAAAAATTCACAGAGAGCGATATCCGGGAAGGGATCGGTAGTCTCAATCGTTGGTCACAGTCGACAATATCTAGCAGAGATTCTTCCACAATTTATCCTCGAAGTTCCTCCCAATTGTTCATGACGGACAACGATATGCTAGAAAATCAAACGAGGCCAACTAGCAACCCAGGCTTAAATATTTCGCGGACATCACCCATAATAAATGATATTCGGAATTCCTATGGGCCCCGCCATCTCCGAGAATCCTCACACGAAATTCACAGCGGACCCTCGACATTCAGCGCAGATGAGGCAACCATATCCAGTCGTGGTACCGCGGCTGCAACTGTGCTGCCATTCGGCAATCAAGAAAAGCAGACCACCCAGCTTCCTAATCTATTTCAAAACCCGTGGACTTCCAGACGTAGCCACGAGGCTGAGAAACCGGTGTCAGGAACGGAAGTTCATTACACCAATCATACGTCTGAATCCCACAGTCCTCGCACTCAAGGCTTGGACATAGCTCTCCATACAGATTCAGAAGTATCTCCCATGAAAGGCAACGTATATGAAAGGAGGAAACGTGGCCAGTCCCAGAAAACAATGCTTTCGAAAGCGTTACAGAAAGCGAACACCGCGGTTCTTCTTGACAATGCCGCTAATTTTGAAGGAGCGATGGAGGCTTACAACGATGCCTGTCAATTACTTCAGCTGGTAATGGATAGAAGCGATGGAGGTGAAGACGAGAAGTTGAAGCTTCGAGAAATAGTGAGTTCCCTCGCAGGATATACGTGAATCAGTACTGCGGGCTGAGATGAAAAAAGCGTGATACCTACATGATTCGTATAAACGAGCTTCAATGTATGGACTTTTCAATCAGGAATGTCGATAGCAAAGCCCTCCCTGAGCGACCTCGCAGTGAAGAGTCTTATATCGAATATTCGTCAGTGCAGAACAACGAGGCCGGGTCATTATCAGGAGAGGGTTCCAATCGCTCGCAGCGTGGCTCTGATGCGCAGTCGGTGTTCGAAATGACAACAACTGTACCGTCTGGGCAGACCTCTTTGCATCAGCTGTCGCTATTACCATCTGCGATCACTGAAGATAAATTCAGAACCGCTTCTGTTGGTGACTGGACTAAGCGCGCTCTGGGACTGGAAGAACATAATATTCAGTCTCCGTGCCAGCCATTCAACGAATACGTTAGAGATCCGGCCACCACTAAGTATGAGCTTACACAAGAACCTATCAGTGAGCCAAGATCTGTTGATGCGTCCTCATCTGGGATGCCGTTATTGAATCCTCATGCGAAGGGTGTTCACGAAACGACATCATGGCTTGATACCATTGACGAGTCCGGTGCTTCATCCCCTGCTTCTGTTCATTCAAACTCCTCATCCTTATACCTGCGCCATAGAGGAGCTCACGAATCTATGGTTGGGACTGAAGCTGAGTTTGATGCCGCCATGGATGCAGCCGTCGAAGCCGCATATGATGATAGCCTAGAGCTGACACCTGAACCCAACTATGATGGTGTGGTAGAACATCCCCGCGCAGTTATCAAGCCTCTGAAGCAACCCGTCACAGAGTTTGGACGGGAAGGAGAAATTGTTCCAAGTCAAAATCCTCTAGGTACCTTTGATGAAAGGAATCTTCGGAGGTCTTCTGGCCATGAAATAGGGTATCTAGATGACGATGCCGAGGAAGAGGAGCGCTTGTTGGAGGAGATGACGAGAGGCTATGTCATGGATGAATTTGAGTTTGGTATTCTGTCCAAATCCGCCCTTCCTCGGCAGCAAGCATTGAGCGATCAGCCTACTCGATCACAGGAGAGCATGGCGCTAGCTGCTACCCATGGTGAACTGGACGCAACGCTGTATACCCCTCTTAATGCTACGAATACCGACGCACGCACTTCTAGCCAGTCAAAGGGGAGCCTGTTAATACCAACCACGAAGTCCATGTTAAGTCCGTTGGTTGGCTCAGGTGTTCGAGCACGAAGGCTGTCAGGTCAACGAAACACCGAGCTGAAAATTGAAACAAAGTCTCACCTAGACACTCGCTTGGTCACCTCAATAGTACGAAGTCCGGACACATTCGTGTTTCGTCCAGGAATGGACCATCAAGATGAGCACCAACTTAGCGTCGGCAATGGTTCCAACAAAAATTCAAGCTCCGCTTCTGGTGTTCGATCTCTTGTACAATCGAAGAGACGCAATGTGTCAGTTGGTTCCTTCACTGAAGACATATTAGCACATGGGACCTGTAGAAGGAACCAGGATATTGACAAGGCCTGGCATACAAAACCTCCTTCGCCAACTCGTCCAATCGGTAAAGTAGCGTCGGCGCCAGACGGTCTAGACAAATCGCATGACGGCTTGGGTCCTTCCTCGATGCGCAATATATCAGTTTTAGGGACAGAGATGCCGTCGGAGTCTCCGAACACTCCGTTAAATAATGTTTCTCACATGTCAGAAGCTCAGAAAGCGCCCATTACTGCTTCTTTACCCATGTTACCTACCCCAACTGGGACAAACATCGGTGCAAATGGCTCACCAAGCCGGGGCCTTAATCTTTTTGACACCCACATTCATTCTCCAACGAGTCCCGGCTCGCCGAATGTGATGGCTGCTGATCCTCCACTCCCATTGGAGCCATGTCCTGAATCGTTTCTTTTACGGCCATTTTGGCTCATGCGATGCATCTATCAGACAATGGCACATCCACGTGGCGGCTACCTATCCACAAAGCTTTTCGTCCCACGAGATGTTTGGCGCGTCAAGAATGTCAAAATCAAGGCGGTTGAGGAGAAAGTATCAAGTTGCGACTTGTTGACGGCCGCATTGCTGAAATTGGCCCAAGTCGATACCTACGATGCTGATGCAATTTTAGAGGAGATGCAGTCATTAGAGAGTGTACTTGATCAGGTGCAAATTTTGCTGTCAAAGAAAGTTGGAAGCGAGGTTGGCGTGCATGGGGCTATGACACTCCTCAAGTCTAACCAGGCGTTCGATGATACACTGAATAATGACATATCATTCTCCAAGCCGTCGCCTGGACCCAGCAAGTCTTATTTGACATCATGGCGCAAATTGCGTTCTAAAAATGCCGGCTTTGCAGTGGCAGCTGCGGCGTGCTCGAAAGAGTCGAGCAGGGACTTCTCGACAAGTAATTCTGTGCCAATGACTTCAGTACCTTCTCAACACACCAAGCGCAATTTTTCACAGTTGCAGCTTAATGGAGGCAGCAATTATATGGGAGCTCTGGCCCGACTTTGTGATGCCGTCCAGGTCTTAGGTAAGTCGATTTGTTGCTGTCAAGTCGTTTCTCGTCTTTGAATTTGTACTCTAATCCGCCAATTCTCCAGATCAAATCGCCCAACAAGTCGAAGATCCCGGTCTAAAGCATTCTTCTCCGACTCTTGTTGGTCTTGAATTGAGCACTCGCCATGCTGCTGAATTTTTCGGCTTCTACATTTGTCGATTTGCACTGAACGATATCGGGCTGATGCTCGATAAATTCATCAAAAGGGGAAGTGAGTGGGTCTTGATTTGATCATGACCACAACTCATAAGACCCTGCTTCATGTATATAGTTTTAATCTCACCTTCGCCGCAACATTTAAACTTTTCTATAGCTGCCGCCTTGGATTCTTGCCTCTCTTCCTAGTACGCGGAATCGTAGGTTTGCCAAATTTGACAAATTATTATAAACCCCCGATTAGCGCTATTTTTGAGCCTTATAGCGCATGAGACACCTCGAACAAAGCTTTCATATTTGCTGTTTGCAGGCCACCCCGAAATGGCTTCGGCACAGAATCCTGGTCTCGATCCATCTTTCCCAGGAGTTCCTTTGCTAAGCCCTGCCGCGAAACGGGTTAAGAAGGAAGCAGCGAGGCTGAATGGTGAAGATTATGGTTCAAGTTTGCTTGGCCATTGTCGTCAGGCATGTTTGTCGTCTTCTCTCTGCATCACGTATGATTTCCGCAGATAGTTTGAGGCTTGGAGCGAGGTGTGCATATCGATCAACTTCTTCTTTCACGCCACTGATGATTGCATTGACCCGGGACGACGAAGGTAGGAGCGCGGAAAGCGCGGGGGACATGGTTGAGCCCATAATCAATAAGGTCTGTGAAACCATAGAAAGGGCACCTTGCCAAAGGTAAGGAAGGTGACCTTCACGATGGCGACTGATGTGGTCAAGCTGGTTTATTGTCGCATCTAGACATCGCCGACAGCATTCTCTTACCATCGGATCTGCAGATATCTGCTCATGTTGGAGTACCGCCAAGATGTAAGGGCGATAGATAATCGTGCGACATGCGAAGTACCGGAGTCTCAAAACGGTCTGGACGGAGTTCGAAGCTGGCTGGGAGGAAAGAGGGAACCGAACAGCCTGTGGCAACCCTTCGTACCACTGAGAAAGCTGAAAATCCAGCTCCGAGGCAACCGGGCCAAGAGACGCAAGCGTGAGAGAGTTCCCTTCCTGATAGATGACATGACTAACTCGGTTCAAAAGCCTTCTCAAGGCAATCTCAGCCAAGAAGTACCAAAGCTCATCATGTCCTACCACCGCATCTACGACGGTGTTCTCCCGGGGTGTGCTGCTTTGGTTTTCATCCTCGTAATCTTCCGGCTCGAAGCCACCTGGGAGATCAACAATTTCTTCGTAGTGCACGATTCCGGAGTGCGGAAGGTCTAGCTCTGCCAGCAAATCACTTTCATGTAGAAGAGTATTCCAGTAAAGTCTCGTGCTCAGTTCTCTCCATTGAGCTGATACACGGGACGGGTTGCCAAAAAGCAGCTGTAGCTTTAAGCTAGCACTTGAAAGTAATGTCCAAGCTTCCAATGGCCTAACCAAGTAGAACAGATAGGCGGAGGCCAGAATGTTGCATTGGGCGGCGAGAACAGAGTTACGCATAGTGACATTGGGTAGGAGGCCCCATGCGGCAACAAAATATGGCAGCCCTGGCGGATCCGCCTCGGGCGAAAGAGTTGAGATGCTTCCGTATTGACTTGCACATCCTAATGCAAGAACTAGAAGAACGACGCAGCTTTCTGCCCCGTCTTGAAAGCTAGACGATATAGCCATGTCGTAGTAACGAGGCCAGGAATATGGGTTAACGCAGGCATACCAGACATTGACGCGCGCGAAAAAAGCCTTAGCGTGTGTTGTAGCATTAGATATATCGAGCCCGACATATGACGGTATCCGCAGTGGCTCACGTGCCATCTCGAGCTGCAACAGGGTATGAGGATCGTAGGGCGAGGCGACGAGATCTCGGATAAAAGGCCACTGCAACAAGTTCAGCGCTGGCGTTGTATGCAGTTTAGGCATTGTCGATATATTTGTTGGGGAATTCGCCCAGAACCCAAGCCCGACAACAGCGGTCCTTGACGGTGCTGCTGTGTTTTCTGCTCGATTGATAATAACGGCATCACCGTTACTGGCAGGATCATTGACAGTCTCGGACGTTGTTGAAGACAGGGGTGAATTGCTGAATTCGCCAATCAGCCTAGAACGCAACAGGCACTCTATTTTATCAAGCTTCTCAATGATTAGTTTGTCACCAGCATCTAGCTTGATGCCCGGCTCTCGATATATACATTCCGCATCAAGATCGGCACAGAGCTGGCATCTCGGGCGTTCGCCATTACATCTCGTTTTGCGTAGACGACAAATTTGACACTATCATGTCGTCAACTATCTATGCAACAAGGAGTTGTGCATGCAACAAAGTACAATACGCAAGATTAGCCTCCGACGCTTCTGCATAGGCGGTAGCACCGCAGAATCTCAAGTACTTGGATGGAGCGATGAAATGGATTGAGACGGATAAAAGGGAGATAGCGAAAAAGACATACTGCTACAGTTGCGCGTCGCCGAGGATAGTCCACTGCTTCAGCATGGTACCGTTTCCGCGGTAAAGAAACTTCGTAAGCCTCCTCCGTGTCACGAGAAGACATGACTGAGCGCGAGATGGGGGATTATTATGTGGCTCTGGGGGAACAAACGAGATAAAGACCGCGCAGCTTTGGGGGAGGTCTGGGGTAGAAACACAGAGCAACGGGCAAATCCGCTTGATGTCAATAAGACAAACAGCGGTCGCAATTGTATTAAAGATACCGTCAGCCAAAGTTTCTGATAAATGTGTGAGATATCTTCCAGGCCATACTCATGACTACCGATACTGTCGAGACGACAAGACGGTCCAGGAAGTTAACCACGCTCGAAGACGACTACTGTCCGTGGCTGTAAAGACCAAATCATTCTTCCCCATCAAATCATTTGACCCTACGACGAACCTCCGCTTACTAGCCTGTACTAGTTAGCGCTCAAATGAATATGATTCGAAGAGAAGTAAGCACCCGGGGATTCGCCTATGTCAGCGCCTCTCGAATTACGGAGACGAAGCGATATGAGCCTCTAAGGGTCCTATAGTACTGCTGTATATCAAGAAGAGTCCTCCTCCCTTCTCCGCGAAGGCTAACAAACTTTATGGTAACAGAGTTTTGAATCACTGATATTTCATAGCCTGCCGGCTGTTGATCTGCATTTGCAATGAGCATGTGGGGCCCTGTTAGACAAATGTTGATGTAAGCAACATTCAGGACCGACAGTACCTTGTCATCTGATCACAATCGATTCGGGATCTCTTATGGTATTGACACTTGGCTTCGCATTGCTTACACAGCCAGATATGGTCAGAATGTGACTCTTTCTGTGTTAAAACCTAGGAAAAGCAGTATGCTGCTTTTTTGCACGCAGCCCGCTTTTTTTGCCTATATCAAGCAGTCGGAGTACGTGGTCAACTGTTTTTCGGCAATTATTATGGGAGAGAAGCAAAGAAATGGTGATGATCGCAATAAAGCTAGGGTATATATTAGAACACAATCTCAGCAATTGCTATGAGTATTGCATAAGTGGGGACAATATGAGTGCTTTGTCTGCGGGTGTTTCCATCGGCCAAGGGTGTTCCAAAGCACACCAACCCCTTTGGGCGGCTAGATCATGTGACTTGGGAATGAAATATGGGGTAGGAGAGGTGTGCACCAAAAGTCTTTGCACCCTTGGACCCACTTTATATGTTTATTTCTGTTATCAATAGTAATACTATAGTAACTGTAATAGTGGAAGACAGCAAGTCGATTCTGCCATGATATTCCGCCTCGGAGTGGGATTATAGTTAGTTCATCCTGTCTTAGAATCCTATATAGCTATTACTAAGCTCAATAGTTTATATTATAATCTTTTAGATATCTAGGTAGCTTATTATATTAGATAATTTATCTAGAAAGTTATTTGTTATATATAAGCTACCTAATTAAATAATCTATTTATATAATTAGTCCATATATAGAATTATATTAATTCTAGATTTTATATATAGCTTACTTATTCTACTAAAATCACTATTATTAGTAAATTTCTTAAGATTCTTAATTAGTAGTAGTATAATTAAAAGAATCTAGTCTATATTATTTATAATAATTAGAGATATAGTAATATCTTTTCTAGTTTTAGAAATATTTTCTATTCTTATAATAAAGATAAGTATAAGAATACTAATACTAATATAGAATTAAAATAATTTAATCTAACTCAAGCTAACTAGTAGAGAAGCTTCTATCTATTCTAACTAAGATAGAATAATAAATAGAATAGTAGCTAAAACAGGAATAACCAAGCTAATCAACTATAATATAACTAGATGTTCCTAAATCTATAGATAAATAACTATAATAATAGTAATAATTACTAATCTTAGAATTATTCTTAGGAGTAAAACTATAATAGTAATACTAAAAATAATATAAATATCTTAATAATCTACTAATAACATAATCCACAAGCGAGCTGGCTGCACAAGCAAGCCGGCTTCCGCGCCCAGTAAAATATGCTTCTATAAAAAGATGAAGCTATTATAGTCCTCTATATCAATAAATAATATGTTTAATTTATGTTTTAATATATTAAACAGCTTGTTCTTTTATATCTAACTGTATTATACTTACTGTAGTAAGATAGTATCTAGTAGTAAGATTATTCCTTATCTATAACTAATTCTATAGACTAACTTCTACTAGTCTAATTAGTCTTATTAGTTTAATTAGATATATTTCTTATCTCTTTAATAGTAAGATTATTAAAATTAGCTATTTAATAATAAGATCTCTTCTTTTTATTATTCTATTTTTCTAATCTAGTCTATAGATTATTAACTTTCTACTTAAATAAAGTAGTTTAGTTAGTAATAATTTTATATCTCTTAATAATATAAGATAATCCTATTTTTATCTATAATAATAGATTAATTATATATTTATAAAGAAGTCTTTTAATTATATTTTTATATCTCTTTAATTATCTTGTATTCTTAGATATTTTTAGTATTATTAATATAGTATAGATACTATTAGTTAGAGTAGACTTATAGAGCTATATAATTAGCTTACTAAAAACCTTATTTAACTAGAATAGAACTAATTCTAAAGCTCTAAAGATATTATATATAGTTAATTCTCTAAAGGCAAGAGAATATACTTCTAGATATATATCAAAGAAATTAATCTTATCTATATAGTAAGTACTCTAGTTGATTAGCCTTTCTATTAAGCTATTATATACTTATTTTAATAGTATAAAGTAAGTAATATTAAGTAGTTAATAAAGATATAAAGAATATAGAGATATATAGATAGAAATAATACTATTTTAATTATATATATTATTAAATTCTAGAGTTAGATAAGAGTTATATCTATTAAGGATTAAGAAACTATATTATTTAATTTACTAATTCTTTATAGAAGAAATAAAGTATTCTTAAAGCTAATATAAACTAATCTTATAAAAAGTCTAACTATTTAGTAATAAGTTAATATACTAGTTAACTAGAATAAAGTCTTAGATTTATATCTTAATATAGACTTTACTCTTAAAAATTAAGTATAGTCTTAATACTATACTAGTAGTATTAATATACTTAATTAAGATTATCTATTCTTAATTCTTTAGCTGAATAAGAGATAGCTTATCTATATAATTAGATCTTATAATTATATAGACTATAGCTACTATTTCTATTATAAAGCTAGTTTCATTAAAATTTTAGATATTTTTATTAAGAATACTATATTTCTTCTTTATAGCTTTAAACTAGTTAAACTACTTATTTAGAGCTTAGAATCTTTATATTTAATATACTAGATATTATATCTTTAAGTAAAATAACTTTTTAAAGCTAATATATACTTAATAAAGTTATTTATCTAGTTCTTATCTACTAAGACTATAGAATCCAAGTTACATTTTTAAAGAAGAATAGTAGTTATATTCTAAAAATATAATAGTTAAGAATAAAGTCTATATTTAATAAATAATAATATCTAGTCTTTTAAGACTTCTTCTTTAAGAATAGTTAATTTTATAGAGTTAGTATATATTTTAAGATATAATTTAACTCTATTAAGTTATTATTATAGAGTTAAATATAGAATATTTAACACCCTTGCAGCTTTATTTATAAGTAGAATTTTACTAGTTTAAATAGTCTTAACTATAAGATAGATATAGTCTTCTTATTCTACTAAATAATTTAGTAATTAAGGTATATTTAGTAGTATTATTAATAATTAAATTACTTTAAGTTAAAGAATACAAAAATAATATGCATGGAAGCCGGCTCGCTTGTGCGGCCAGCTCGCTTGTGGATTATGTTAGTTCATCCATGTATTATTAATTTAATAGTTATAATATTAATAATCTCAAATCTTCTTATATTTAATTTAGAATTTTATAATTTCTTTTAAGAGGTAAGATTAGTTTTAAAGAATAGAAACTATTATTATTCTATATTTAATTAATTAATATTATTCTTAATAATTCTAATTATTCTTCTTTAATTATCTATAGAATATAGTATATTTCTATAATAATTGTAATTAATTAGTAGTTTAAAACTAGAAGACTTCTTTATTTCTAATATCTTATTTTAGTTATTTCTAGATTCTTTAGCAGAAAATCTTACTATAGTTAGAAATACTATTAATTAATTATAAGACTATTAGTGATTAAAAGATAAGTTACTAAACTATAGTAGAGAATTGAATGAATATATATATATACATATATATAGCATTAGTTTTAAATTAGTCTAATAAATATCTTTTATTAAGTAAATCTATAATAAATATTTAGATTAAAGATATTCTATAATTTAAGAATTTTTTATATCTAGAAGTAGTAAGAATAGTTTTATAATTTAGGTTATAACTTTTAAAAAATATCTTTTAAGTTTTATTATAATCATTATAAGATATATAAGACTATAAGTTATATAAGTATAATATATTGATAAAGATAATATTAATATCTTTATAAACTAGCTTTTAGAGTAAAAGAAAAATATCTACTATTTATAGTTAATTCTCTTAAAGTAGACTCTTTTTCTTATCTAGAATATTATTATATTAAAGATCAATATAAAAAGTTAATCAAAAAATCTAATAGAGAAATAACTAAGATTCTTAAGTTTTATATTTATTTTAATGTTTTAGAGTAATATTTTTCTAGGACTTCTAAGAAAAAATAAAATTATATCTTTTTTATAATATAATATCTTTTTATAAAATTATTCTTTAACTTATTATTATAGTAAAGAGTATATTTATTATTTATTTAAAGAATAAAGTAAGATAATATCTATTACTAATTATTATTAGAATCTATATATATAGTAATAAGAATATAAATAGAGATCTAATATATTTAATATATTATAAAAATAATAATAATTCTCTAAGAAAAATAAATTTTAATATTCCTAATCTAGTTTTTCTAATTCAAATTATAAATTATTATAATATTTTCTACATAATAGTACTAAATATCTTACTAATTACTATAAAAAGAAAAGAAAAAAGTTAGTCTAGATTTAAGAACTATAAGTTAGAAGATCTACTATAGAAAACTAGAATAGACTAAGATTAACTCTTTTATTTTAATTATATTTTTAGAAGTAAAACTCTTAATAAGATATTAATATCTATATAAATACTCTAGATTAGAAAGATTAATATAGATATTAATAGTATTAGAGTTTCGGTTCTTTTTAAATAGAATTTATTGGACTTTCATATAATTCTCACTTTTCCATACAAACTTAGTATAGAAGTAAGGTCAAAGCAAGGTCAGAGTAAAAGATAATAAAAATCAAAAGAATCAAAGATATAATAAAAAAGAAAATAAACAAGCTACTAATTTTAAGATATAATTAGTTCAAATTAGTTCAACTTGTTCCCAGGAGATAGTAGAATAAAGCAGACTATTTAAGCCAAATCCTTTGTTTATTTATTTCTAATTGGAAACTGAAATATTCAGAATGCAGGGGTGAGAATGCAGAGTGAGAATACAGGGGTGAAATAGTCAGGGATAAATAGATTGGGCTGGAACAATGGTTTAAATAACTCAATCAAGGGGATTAGGGCTAGGGTTTGGTAGTCAGATGATCTGCCAGTCTGACAAATAGTTATATAGTATAAAATCTAATTAGTATTAATTTATATAGTAATACTTCTTTTCAAAATTACCAAAAGCTTTATCTTAAATAAAAGCTATTAATTATATCTCTATTATTATCTATAGAGTATAGTAATTTATATAATATTATTAATATAAGAGAAATTCATTAATATTCTATTAGACTATATATTACTATTAATTAGGAGAATCTAGTATTATTATCTATAACTATACTTATAGATTACAAAATCTATCTTTTTCTATAGAATAAAAATTGATAGTTTAAATCTAATAAAATAATAAATCATTAGAATACTATAAAAATAATTCTATTCTATTAGAATTAGTTATTATTAATTCTTTAATTCTTCTAGTTTTAATTATCTTTTACTTTAATCTTACTTTCACCTTACTTCCATACTAAGTTTGTATAGAAAAGTGAAAGTTAAATAAGAGTCTAATGAATCTTTTTTAAAAAGAACCAAAACTCTAATAGAGTACTTTAGATTAGAGACTCTTTAGTATTATTTACTTATTTAAGTACTAGTATTAATATTCTAAGAAGATTTAATATTCTACTAAGACTTTCTTAATTATATAAATCTTTAATTATCTATAGATTAAATCTAATTTAATATATATCAAGTATACTAGTGTATAGTTCTAGTATTTTTTAATTTTATAATTGAAAAGATTAGATAAAAATAATCCTATTAATATTTTATTTAAACTATTTAAATTAGATAAAAGCTTCTATAATAATAATATTATATAAATATTCTAGAAATAGTTAGTATCTATTCTAGTAGTATTTAAGAATAAGAAATTCTAATTTAAGTATAGTTAGATATCTTTATAAATAAGATCTAGACTTGGTACTTATAAAATATTAAGTAGATCTATAAGTACTACTAGTATAGAAATAGTTAAATAGTATTATAGTTTAGTAATAAGGATTCCTTATTTATTCTAAGAATACTATTGTTATTACTGAGATAAGATAGAGATCAACTCTATTGAAATAATACTTAAAGACAAATAAAACTAGTTGAATTCACTATTACTAGAACCACTGCAGATATCTATATTTGGAGATGGGTATTCTTACTATATAAATATATAATGATAATAACAATATACTAATATAATCTAGAAAGAATTAATATACTCTTTATACTTTTAACATAATTTATTAATATTGATATTATTATTTCTAATCTATTTATTATATTTAGATACATATTTTAATTAAGAAATTAAGTGCTATATTACTAGTAAAACATACTAGCTATAAAGTACTATATATATCGGAGAACTCTTGACCAGACCGACATCCTTCCTTCTCCTGTCTTATGATAACTCTTCCTTTCTTCCTTATTCTATCATCCTGTATTCTGTATTTAAGATCTTGTATAGCAGAGAGAATAATAAATAATAACTTTATATAGTTATAATATCTTAATATCTTAGTATCTAAAAGAGGACTTTAGACCTAATATATTAACTATAAGTTAGTAATCTATTCTGAATAATCTTAGATTTCTTTAGATTTATTTTTTAGAGTATAGAGATTACTCTTCTAATAATCATCTTCTCCCCTTCTTCTTTACTACTAGATAGAGAAGACAGGGTCTGACTATCTTTATATAGAAACAGCTATAATATATTAAACTAGACTATTAGATTATAATATTCTATAATATATTAAGAAGCCAATATATTTATTAATTAGACAAAGATATAGTATACTATACTATCTATATTATTAGAATATCTAAATCATCTAAATTAGTAGATATTATTCTCTACCCTTCTAACTAGAATATTGACCGTCCGGTTTTAAACAAGACTATTAGGGAATTCAGATATCTTACTAAATTTCTACTCTTAGAGTCTATATATACATCTTAGCTAATAGAATAACTAATTCTAGGGATTAATCCAGATTAACTTCTTAGATATATAAGACCAAGATCCTAATCTACTAATAGAGTATTATTCAAACCTGAGTATATAAGAATAATAGATATAGAAGAATTCTAATTTTAAATACTAGAAGAATTAATTCTCTTCTCTTCTATAGATTCTCTATAGAAGAATTTTAATAAGATATCTAAATATTTAACTCTATAAGTACTAAGACAGCTAGTCCTAGAAGTATTTATACTATCTATATAGATTTTAAGTACTTCTAGTAAACCTCAGTTCTAGTATTATTATAAAGT